TTCTATTAGAGGTTTTACGGTATATAGATTAAATCGCGCCGAAGGCGCACCAGCCAACTGTTTGAAGCGCCAGAGGCTGGTTTTATTAATAAAATCAAACAGGCTGGTTTTATTAATAAAATTTTATTTTTTTCAATTTTCTAGTCTGAAAGCAAAAATGTTAATGTTTCAAGTATTCCGAAAATGTTTGCGAATTTATTAATAAGGAGATTTTTCAAAAATGATTCAGAATACATTTCCAGAAAACATTTTTTTCGAGAAATATCCCAAAAAACCTTGATTTTAATACAAAATTGCTTATTTATCACTTACAATAAAATTATCGATATCTACATAGTATTCTAAACTTCATGAAACTGAAACATTTATTTTTAGAGATAGGTTTCGAAGAAAACCAATTAGTTTTTATTGAGGTTATGAAAGTTTTCGAAAGAAAATGTAACTATTTGTTTTTTCTGGAACAAGCTTTTCCGTTTAATTGAGTATTTGAACATTTTTAATTTTCCTTTTCGCGCCTTTTGTTAAAGGCGCAGACCATTTCTAGGAGCCGAGGGTCTCACCGCGATTAGCGCGCAGAAGGGGCGGCCGACTGTCTATCTGTCATTCTACGTGTGCAAGATGCAGTAAAGAATGCTAAAGCCACTAGTACCATCATGGCTTACGAAAGAGCAAATGCAGAGAGAGCACGTTGGCTGTGTGAGGCCAATCTTCCAGCTGACGAGAAATCGACGGTTTTGTACCTGGCACACAAATCACAATCCGCGGGGAGTGGAGCTCTGGCGAAGATTTCGGCAGCGTAACGTACTGACCGGGGGAAGCTTTTCTCCAATGGAAAGACAGCTCTCGGGGGATTTGATGAAGTCGAAGAAAAGAGAAGAAGTTGCTTTGAGACAAAAGCCAAAAATGGTGGATCTCTCAGTCATAAAGAAGCTATTCGAAGGGCCCTCCAACAATCCGAAATCGGAAAGGGACGTTCTCGTGATTGCTCTTTCCTTCTTTGCTCTGCTCAGAGCAGGAGAAGCCGCGGAGTTGAAATGGGAAGATGTCGAAAGGAACGGCGGTCTGTTGAAGATCACAATCAAAAAAGCGAAAAACGATCAACATGGACTGGGAAGAAACACTTTTGTAGCTTGCCCAGAAGGAGAAGATCTCGATTGCTTATTGAACCGCTGGAAAGTACGATGTTCTACGGGTAAATATTCTTCGGAATATTTATTTCCGAATCTCCAAAACGGGACACAACTCAAGCCAAACGCGATTTCTACGATCACAAGAAAACGATTGGGGGAAGCAGGCGTGACGGCAACCCATCACGCTTTAAGAAGAGGATCAGCGAACGAACGGGAGTTTAGAGGACTCTCAATTGAAGAAATCAAAGCAAGAGGTCGTTAGAGATCGAACGAAGGCCTACTCCGGTATCTTCAGGACAGTATCTTCGGCCCAAGGATTCAAAGTGGGAGAGTTACTAGAGGAGGAGAATTCAGAAGACGAAGGTCCACCCCGTTTGGAGAGGGAAATTTAATAATTAATAATTTAATTATTCAATTGATTATTCCTTTTTTATTTACCCCGTTTCTAAGTGTCCATTCAAGCTTGTATCATTTCTGCTTCTGATTCAAATCAGTGACACCACTTGCTCTTTCAACACACCTAAAGCGATTCAAATAAATCTGTATCATTAGTATGTTTTGTGGGTTTTTTCTAAATTTTAGGTAGGAGTTCTAGCGGGGGACCAGAGAAAACGAATTCTTCTTGATACGAAGTGAAGAATTAAAAATTTCTGAGAAGAATTAAAAATTTCTGTTACAGAAATCTAATAATTTTTGAAGTTTAAAAATGTTTCAATTTCGAGAGAACTTTATTCAGTTTTTTGGGACAGAAATCAAAAAGTGGTCAACGGACAAAATGTTTCGCAAACTATCGTATGCAATTTTTACGGATTTTTTAATAAAACGAATTCAGAATATCTTTCTAAAACAGCTTTTTTCGAGAAATGTTCCAAAAATCTTAAAGGTGGGGAGACATGAAAAAAAAATTTTTCTCGAAATTCCTTTCAAGAATGCCCCTCGAGGAGTTGAACTTGCGGGGGTAAGGATTTAGGGTGCGGCGCCGCTACCGACTGAGCCACGCGGGCAAAGAGAAAGCTCACGCCCGTTTGCATACATAAAGGCGAGGACGACAGCTGTACGCAGAGTGACATTAAAGGTGGGGGGACAGGAGATTTTTCGTAGTTTTTTTGTAGCTAGAGTATGCATTCTACCGTCACGGTGTACAACGCTTAA